CATTTAATGTCCGGGAGAGTGGGGGAAATGGGTAATGATGTACTTTATTAATATTTTAATAGAAATGTTAGATTTCTAGGAAAATTCGGCTTATTTGAGGAAGAATCAATTTCTATAAAATATGTTACTTTTCTCTACTTTATAGAAAATATTTCTATAATTTTTTTTGAACCAGACATAATTTATAGAAATCCACAAAAATATATTATCTACGAAATTTATTATTATTAGGTATTTTCCCAAAAAGTTTCTATGAAATAGGTGAACTAAAAACCCGATTTGCTACATGGATAAGTTATAAAAAATCGAGAAATCTTGTGATTAGAGTATAGCCCAAGTTTGACTTGTCTACGAGGTAGACAAATAGAAACAGTAACGCAATGAATTAAGTAAAAGACTTGAATATTGCTAGGCCAATGAGGTTAACTTTATTCTTTTCTATTCTAATATTATTAATTATTCTAGGTGAGAAGAAGTTTGTAATCAGAAAAACAGTGCAAGAAGAATTACATTTCAAGTTGATATTATATGATGATGATCTCTCTACTATTAAAAAAGTTATATTAATTTAAGGGTAAATTATGCTAAACCTCGAACAACATTTAGCGTCATGCAACAAACCCTCAATAGCTTTCAAAGTAGCACAAAATTCCCAAGAAATTTCAGTGATTTGTAGTAAACCCCCCCAATAACTTTCAAAATCTCACTAAATCCTCATTAACTTTTGGAATTGCAGGAAAGCCACTATAAGCTTCCGCATTTTGCAAACCCCATAAACCAAAATAAAAAACGATAAAAAAGGCATTTTGAAGCTAAATTTCAGAAAAAAAAGTGCTCGAAAGCCAACCTGGGGGCAAGCAAGAGAAGAACGAAAGACAAAATATGAGAGATTTCTGTTTTAAGGTTTGAAAATATGTATAACGTTATAAATGGATTTTTTTTTAATAATTTAAGATGTATTTTGATCTTTTTAAATCACGAGAGTTACAATGGTTTCAACTTTAGGGATTTTCTATAAAAGCTATTAGGACTTAGTGTGATTTTGAAAGTTATTTGGTGTTTACTACAAAATGAAGTAATTGTTCTTGGGGGTTTAGTGTGATTTTACAAGGAATTGGAGGTTTTACTATAAATGCTGAAAGTTCTTGGGGGTTTAGTGCAATTTACCTTAATTTAATAAAGACTATTTCTTCATAATTCGATTGTTTAATCTTTAAAAAAAATTATGATACTTAACATGATATAGTTATTTGGTGTTTACTACAAAATGAAGTAATTGTTCTTGGGGGTTTAGTGTGATTTTACAAGGAATTGGAGGTTTTACTATAAATGCTGAAAGTTCTTGGGGGTTTAGTGCAATTTACCTTAATTTAATAAAGACTATTTCTTCATAATTCGATTGTTTAATCTTTAAAAAAAATTATGATACTTAACATGATATCCAGCATCGGTGTGGCCTTCGGCAACGTAATACTGATCGCATTCCCTGCGCCGTCCAAAAATCACATCGTCGCCCCGTTAAGAGGCTGGCTGTACATTCCATCAAGCAACAGAAGCTCGAATCCGCCTCCGAGAACAGCTCTGTGGACATACTCGTAGACCACTTTTTTTTCGTCCAGGGTAAAAAATAATCCTGGCTACGCCACTGGTCTCCAGTTATTTAGTTTTTCCAAGTGAAACTTAAAATCAAGGTCTTTTAGGTTAATTCTGGTAATAAGTGGAATCAAAGGACGCAGTCACTTAAATTTATGAGAATAAGTGGAATCAAAGGACGCACTTACTTACGGGATAAGTAACACATGCAATAACATCAACCATAAGAAGTTGTGCAATTTCTATTTCCAAACTTTATTCTTTGAGAATAAATGACTTCATCCTGTTTCACTCCGCGTCATGGAAATGAGCATGAGATTCTTGATTCGATAAACATCTTGACGTTGGAGAATTATATACCTCGGTGGTCATTGCGAAGTCTCCTTCTTTGTTGGAAATGCATTGTAAATACGGCCGGCGCCCCTTTATTCTTTTGCTGGTAACTTTTAAAGATTCTAATCTAGTATCTTTCCCTTTTATTGCCAATGTTTTATGTCAAGAACATAAGCATAGGTGAGATTTGACAGTACAAATTTTTAGTAGAACACATCACATACTAGCATAATGTCATGAGTTATTCATGAAGAAGATAAGAGGACGGTTTGCGAGATTTAACAGCCTACTTCATCGCCCAAGATATCTCGCTCGCATGCAGAGTGTTCTTATAAGGTTTGTATTCCTAAAACAGGAATGTGACTTTTTAAGCCATAAATGGAAATGTTAGATGACAAATCGAAGATTTTAATTGCCACTTTATGGTTTAGAACATTTCGGTGGCATGTGTGATGTTCTGATAAGATTTGTGTTGATTGGAGGGCTGGACAACTAATTAGTCCGAGGCTCTAGACATCTATGATTAAATAAAAATAAGATCCATCTTGTTGGAAATATTTTCAAAGCCCAATTAGTTATTAGAAAAAAGGTTGATATGAGTAAAATTATAACTCTTTACAATTGTAAGGAGCAAAGTTCTTATAAACATAGGTGGATAGGAACCTTTTTTTCCATTGATTTTTTTATCCACTGATTTTATTTGAGATTTGTGTTACAAATCAAGTCTATCTTTGAGATATTTCACTTGATACACATCACATATCAGCATGAATTTCAAAGCGAAAGCAATGGATAAAAAAGCTAGTAAATAAATGTTTCTATCCACTTAAATTTACAAAAAATTTACTCTAATTATAAATTCAAAAGAGATCATTTATTGTACAAGATGTTTTAATTGCTAATAGTTTGCAAATTATAAAAGCTATTAGGACTTAGTGTGATTTTGAAAGTTATTTGGTGTTTACTACAAAATGAAGTAATTGTTCTTGGGGGTTTAGTGTGATTTTACAAGGAATTGGAGGTTTTACTATAAATGCTGAAAGTTCTTGGGGGTTTAGTGCAATTTACCTTAATTTAATAAAGACTATTTCTTCATAATTCGATTGTTTAATCTTTAAAAAAAATTATGATACTTAACATGATAT